GGTCCCTCAGCCCCGCGCTCCGGCCCGGGGCCCTGGGACGGCTGCTCTTTAACAGATCGTCCCGGTTTAGCCCCGGGAATCGTTCCCTGAAGGCCTGGGGTGAAACCCGCGCTCGGCTCTGGGATGCGGCTGCCATTAAACAGGAGTTTTTCCCCAGATGAAGTTATCCGCAAGCGACTTCTGATCGATGGCGATGGTGCTGGTGACGACAGGCGGATCAATTTGTTGGTGAAGAGTTTCATTAAGTGGTGTAATTCCGGATCTCAAGAGGAAGGGTATTTGTTTTCTGTTGGGTTTTTTTGAGTTTGTTGGTTTGGTTTCTTTTTTATAGTCTTGGGACTGCTTAGCTTGCATTTCAGTGGAAAACTGGGCTTGATCTGTTTTGAAAAGAGCCCTGTTAAAATGTATACCTCTGCTTTTTAGTATGGCTCTGTGGCGTTTCCAGTACAAGCGCCAAGCCCTGCGGTAGGAGATGAGGACTAGAAAGGGTCAGAAATTACCGAAGGCTGCAGGCTGTATCGTGAAATCTGCCAGCGCCGCTCAGATGCCCTCAGGATTGTCGTGCCGCTGCGTGATCCGTCTGGGAATCCCGCTATTGTAACAGGATCATGACTCGAATATTTTAGTTGGCAGTTCTGCATTTGTTCTGTTAGGGAAGGGTAGTACTGCTGGTGTTTCTGCTCCTGGGGTTCTCTTCTTTTTCTTTTTTTTTTTTTAAAAAAAAAAAGGCACAACAGGCTAAAGTAGCGAGAGATGAGCAACAGCATGGTGTTCTGCTATGGGGTGCGTACTAGTACTGGATATAAATTCCTGGGGGACACAAGATAACGATTGTGTGTACAGAGAAGCACTGGAGTATTAAAATACTAATCTCAGTGGTCACAGAGCCAGCCCTAGCTGGGAAGTTTTTAGGCCCTGGAAATCTGCCCGTTGCTTTAATACTCACTTTACACCTATAAGAACATGATGGTGGAAATAATGGGTGCAGTGTTTCTAACTGCACTTTCAAAAAATGACACATTGAATCTTTGAAATATTTTCTTTATTTAATAACTGTTATTTAACTGTTCCCTATGCTACATGAGGCTTTGTTTTCTTGTTTCGTAAAGGTAGGGTGTATTTTTATGCTGCTTAGGAATAAATATCTTGTCTGTTTTCAGTTACAGCCAATACCAACGAATGCTGAGTACTTTATCACAGTGTGAATTTTCAATGGGGAAAACTCTTCTGGTGTATGATATGAACCTGAGAGAAATGGAAAATTATGAAAAAATCTATAAGGACATAGGTAAAGATGAGAAAATATTACTGTTCTCTGACAATTTCTCTTTCATGAACAAGCTCAAGCCAGCTCTGGTGAACATAATATATACATATGATGAGTGGTTTGTGGCTTTTTTTTTTTCTTTTTCTTAATAGATAGCACTCATACAGATGCTGTAAGCACCTCATCAGTTTTTAAAATACATACAAATAAAAGCTTTTTTATCCTATTGAAGTGTATGTAGTTTTGAAGCTGATGGAGCTAGCAGGCCACCATGTCGCAAACAGCTCTTTATCTTTTTATAATTTAGCAGAATGGCTTGTTTACATGTTGTTTGATTTCAATATAACTCTGTATATATTTTTTTTAAAGAAAATAGTATAGCTGCAGCACATGAGAAGATTTCTGAATGCAAAAAACAAATCCTGCAAGCCAAAAGGATTCGAAAAAATCGCCAGGGTAAGGAGCAATACCTGTATTTACACTGGTCGGTTTCCTTATTTTCTTACCTTTTAAAATACATTGTATTGGAAAATAGATTCCAAATTTTTGAAAGTGCAAGGGAATATACTGGCATCATGACTGATTACTGTATTTAGCCCGAGTTCCACACCCACTACTGAAAGTTTTTGGTGGACGAGGCAGACAAGATTGAACCAGTAGATCTCAATGACGTGCAACATCAGGAAAACCTAACACAGCCCTTCAGAGAGATGTTTTCAGGCCAAAGAAAAACCTCAAAAGCATCCTGTTACAATTCAGGTGGTTTGAGAGGAACTGGAGCACGTTATTAACAGCAAGGCAAGAGTTGAATAGACTTACACCCAGCACTGAAGATGATGCAAGTCAGCTTCCTTCAGCTTTTAAGGGAAGGTAATGTCTTGGCGTACACAGCGACAGTGGTGCCAGTTACACACCCAACAACTCTGTACGTGACCTTACCGATACCTGTCATGAGAGCTGTATTTTTTCCCCACTCTTAAAAGTGTGGGGTAGTAATTTCAAGTGAAACTTAAATATTTCCCTCTAATACTGTTTTATCAAAAGATTAGCAATTGAGGAGAAGCAAGAATTTAGTTTTTCTTGATAAACGAAATGCAAAAAGAAAATTTTAAAACTGCGACAGGTGAAAGTTTTTCGATACAAGTGTTTGATCAATTTTATGGATAATTTTAGACTCAACTGGAAATTAAAAGAACCTTAACTGGTAGGAACGTAGAGTTTTTACATCTTCACGAACATTGGTCTGGAGTGTTTGCTTTTTGATATGTTCTGTCCAGCCTGCAGCACAGATTTTTTCCATGTGAATGAGGTAGTTGGCGTATTTACAATCCTGCTATCAGGAAATGGCTATGTTAGTTGCCAATATAGCCATAATATTGTTCTTAATGTGTAATACAGTTTAAAAAAAATCCTGTTGTTTTTCATACAGCATTTTGTCCTTTTTAAAAAAAAATATTAACTGTTTCTGTGTAGCATCTTATCAGCACTGTTTTCTGTACGTATACATTAGATTGTATCTAAAACCTTGAATCACACACGAAAGACCAAGCGTGCAGCAATGCAGAGCTATCTAAAGGTCGTGTTTTCTGGCCTCATCCTTTATGAATCACTAGCACTGGCTAAGTTTGAGTGAGCAGATAATGGCCTACATTGTAGTTTATTTGAAAATCTCTTTTGGTGTAATCATCTACTTTGAAATGTTACAGCATAGTATAAATTATGTACATTTTTATGTGTATGTACATTTACATTTATATGTATGTACATATGTACAAATATGTACATATTTGCAGGTACTTTTTTATGTATTTAAGATGTTATGTACAAATTTGAAAAAATCTTAAAACAGTTTTTCAAGAAGGAGAAAGAGTCTGTACCATTCTATGGTACCTGATTTTTGGTTCTTGAATTGACACTTTCAACATTATTTAGACTCTTAACTGTTTACATTTCTTTCAGAGTATGATGCGTTGGCCAAAGTCATACAGCACCACCCAGACAGACATGAAACTCTGAAGTAAGTATGAGACTACATGAAATAAGCCAATAAGCTAGAAGTCACAGATTTGACATTTCCTTGGTTTCAGCTTGACCTTTCCTCACTTTCATGTAATTTCTTTTGTCACAAAAACCCCTTGGATTTTGTCTTACAGTTGTGCCCTTATCAGCTTTCTTTAATTGGTCTCCATCTGTATGGGTTCAGAAGCATTGCTAATCATTTTGTATTTGAAATTTTTCTATGGTTAAGGTGAATAAGTGAACTGGGATGTAAATGCACATCTCCTGTCAGTTTACCAGGCATATGAGTTGCTCAGAAAAGGCAGATAGTGGGGAAGTGCTGTAAAGTGCACCAGCAAGGGATTCAGTAGTCGTCCAAAATATATTACACACAAGCAAGTAAGGTGGGATGAGAGAAAGCAGGAGAAAGGTCTTAGGGTTTTTTTGTTTATTTTCCTTGCAGCAGTTGTTCCTGCATGCCCGGTTATAAATTACTATGTTGTGTACCACAGTATAACCTGCCCTGGCATGCAGGTGAGACCTACCTGTTGTCCAACTCGTCTTGCATCTAACTTACAGTTAGATTTGGATCAATATCTGTACTTTTGGGTCGCCTTGGGCAGTTGTGAGGAGATCTTTTTAACTTTTTCAAGCCGAAGAGACGTTCTGGGAATGACTTCTATGAGTTTGTTCTTCTTAACCTGATTAAAGATGCAGCATGGGGTTATTGTTAGCAATTAAGCACAGCTTGTGCCTATCCTGTTGCCCACTTTCAGTGAAATTGCAGAGGGGGGCTGTCTTTTCTCATTCTATCATCTTTCATAGCAAAAGAAAGATTTTTTTACTTACGTTATTATCCTAATAATAGCATTTTTATAGCTATAAGCTACTGAGAATATTTCCCACGTTTCTTTCTTGTATGTTGTTTTACTGTGTCTATGATTTCATTACCACAGCTTTGATTATTACAAGCAATTCTCATGAGGCTTGACTACTTCTTACATCATTAGTCAGCATGTGCCTTTTATCAAGTGAGGCTTCATCATAAAGAATTATCAAAAGTAAAGTTTTTCATATAAGTCGATTGATTAAGAATGGAAACAACTAACTAAATGATAATACTTTTTTTCTTAGAGGATGCCAGGTTGTTTAGGTTGTTTGTTCTAATTTTGCTTAACCCATCCAAGCATAAGTTTCTTAAGCAAAGCTAGAAATGGTGGTAAGTTACAGCTAGTAAATTGGGCATTTTGTCTTTTCTTAAACTTAATCTTATAATCCTTTTAGGAGAGTGTGTTACTGTTAGAAATACCAGTGCATTCATCCACTAGAAGAATGCCTACAGCGCATGGCCTTTTGTCCCTTAGTCCTTCGTACCTGTAGTCGAAGACACAGACTTGAACAACAGCAGGGTATGGTCCCCCATTTTACAGGTGGGGAAATAGGACATAGTGACAGAATGGAACATTTTTAAAGTGAGCTTGTTTCGTAGGTATTTTAGCTTTAACTGACCTTTCCAAATGAATAGACTTTAAATACAAGAACTCAATGAAGTTTTCATCCCATGTTTTAATTAGAAGGTTTCCTTTCTCTCCAGTTTGAGGAAAGTACGCAGAAAACCGTACTATGAACGAAGAAGGACCACTCTTAAATCAGAATGGAGGAAGCCTCAGTGACAATGTCACGCTTTTCGTGAAACTCTTAGTCACTAAAACACTTGTGAAAACTTACGAGGAGAAATGTCGTGGTTTACTGCAAGAGTTACATTTATAGCTTTTGCAGGTTGTGGCAGAATAGAACAAAGTTCAGAAAAGTACCTTCGTTATGCTTTTAAGGGTCTGTTTCTTGGAACAACTAGTCATACGGCACAAAAGAAGAGGAGCTGTTATTGGCTTAGTCAGAAGTCGTGCACAGGAGCCAATTCAGGAAGTGACAGGAGCTGCACTAGTAAATGGCAGTGCCCACTGTGTAATTAGATGCAGCATCAGAAAAGCTGTTGAAAGGACCAAGAAATGATACTGAGTCTTAGAAAAGGAGATAAAAAAATGAGGAAGGCTAGGCAAAGATTCTTGGGAGCAGAAAGTAAAAGAAGTGAGATTCCAGATGTAGCTTGGATGTTACTGGAAAAGAATTTTGTATCTTCTCACAGCATGTACCTGACAGCACAGTGTAAACGGCAAGATTTGGCCAAGCCGAAGCCTTTCAGAAACTAGAAACAAAATACTGATGAAATCACTGTAAGCTGTTAGCCTGTTCCCACTAAAGGGAGGGACCACCTCACCCCCAACCGTCTTTCAGGCGTTCCCTTCAAGGTACCAAGCATCCTGGCTCAAAAAAAAAACCCAAAACACCCTCAGGTAGCACTAAACCAGACTCTTTTCCCAGCCATCATGAGTTACTTAGGAGTGGAGACCTTTTTGTGGTTCCCTGCGCAGACTAGTTGCAGCAGCTGTCAGTGCTTCAGAAAAAGAAAGTTTTATTTTCTTGCTGACCCCTGTATGGCTCTGCCTGCCAATCAGTCAGGGGTGGTCGGCCTCATCCACTTCACCTTTAAAAAAACAGATTGTTCTCATTGCATGGAGGTGATAGGTATTAGAGGAAAAGTAGAAGGGCCAAACTGGAGGTTTGAGTGTAAGTTAACGCTCCATCCGCATTTGAAAGCTATGGTACCTTCTGTTATTCTCTGTCCTACCTCAAAAAAGATTTGTTCTGGCCCATGGTGGGTCGTGAGTGAGAACAGAAAACAGTTGAATGCTTGTGGAAAGATCCTGAAGAGGTGTTGAAAGATGGTGTATTTCAAAAGGATGTGAATAATAATGAAGATTGTAGGTGGTTTATGTTTCCTTTATCTCTTAATGCCAGAGTCAATCAATTAAAATAAAAACTGGCATTTGAGAAGGAAATGAGTATTTACATGGATCACAGTGTTCAATTCTGTGTGCTGAGGCATAAGCTGTATCGTGTAGTTTCATTAAAAATGTGGATTATTCTTTATATGCCCACTGTAAAGTCCATGTGTTACCCAGAACTCAGTCTGGTCAGGCCAGTGTCAGAGATAAGGTACTTGACTATGCATTTGGTCAGTTGTTGTGTCGGGGAATTGCTGTGTTTGTATGTTGGGTATGTAGGTTTAGGAAACATGTTCTCCTTCCTGATGCTATGTCTATTTAATCTACTCATGTCAACATAAAGAAATCTGTGAAGTAATGAAGCCTATGAAAATGCCATGGGTGTTTAATGTAACCCACTTTAACTTTCATTGTATGGTCAAGTAAAGAACGTGTTTGTTGCAGGACTGAACTGTTGCAGTCCAAATGACCAGTGTACAATTGTTTTCAAGCTTGGACGCCTTGTTTTCTGTAGAAGTCCTGAAATTACAAGTTTATGACATAATAATTTAACATTTACATCTCAATGTAATTTCATTTGTTTTGCTTTTTTTACCTCGCTGTTTGTTTAATGGTTCTTTTTCCTCTACTTCATACTAATCTATTTTGGAAGAATTTTACAGAACTTTTTAAAAATACCATGACAATTTCTTTTCAGGCAGCTCGAGGCCTTGGGGAAAGAACTGCAACATCTTTCTCACATTAAAGAAAATGTTGAAGATAAGGTAGGTTTTTCCAAGAGATTGTTGTATAACTATTTATTAGGAACTTAATTAATGGAGAATCTGCTGTGGGTTGTTTGGCTGTACATGCTGTCTGTTTCCTAAAGTATGTATTTCATCGTTCCAGTTGGAGCTGAGAAGAAAGCAGTTTCATGTTCTTCTGAGCACCATCCACGAACTTCAGCAAACCCTGGAAAGTAAGTGGTGTTCTTAGGTAACACGCCTAACTGGGTTGGGTTTCAGCAGATCAGAAGGAATCACAGCTTCCAGCAGCGGGCTAGCCGTGTGCAATTGAGGTTGGTGACCTCTTGCGTCGGCAGCATTTTTTTTCCCAGTAGTAGTTCAGATGCTGAGACTGCTCAGAATTTTTTTCTTCTGCAAGCTAGCCACCGTGTCATATCCTGACTAGCTTCAGATTCATCTGCAGGCAACAGACTTCTTTGAAGTGTGGGGATGGTGAACAGCGATTTCAGGTTGTTTTTTTCTTTAAAAAGAGAAAGTATTTCTTACAGAAAAGTATTCTTGTGGATAGTTTACAAACTTATTTGTGTAATTCCTGTTTCAGTAGTTTTGAACACATCACTGCCATCATGGTATCATTTGAGGCTTGATTAAAAAGAAATTGGAATACAGGGAAGCTAAATGACTTACCTACTCAGACAGCGCGTCTGTAATAGAGCAGGGACTAAAACTGTTATACACAAGAGCTAAATTCAGGGATTTAATCATACTCATCTGTTGTCCATACAAATACTTAATATTTTCAAATCAGCACTTACTTTTCATGCTCTGGTATGGATAATATTGTTTCAACTGTTATTTGCTGGATTTTTGCCATGTCTCTCTCAGACAGAGTAATTGGCGTAGCCTTTGAGCCTGACCTGATTAACATACAGAGATGGCGATAAGAGCAGACTTTCATTCTGTAAGGCCATCTAGATCTTCTTAAGCAGAATGAACTGTTAATCCTAGGTGCACTTTAGCAGAAGGTTATTGTTATTGTGTGTCACTACCACTTGCTTAAGTGCTAGTCTCTCAAATACATTTTCATGTGGAAGCGCAGATTACCTTTCAGCTTCTGGAGGTTTATGAAGGAAGTGAGATTTTAGTGGAAGGCACTGCTTCAGTCTGAGCTAAACCATTAACAGACAAAGAGAGGGCATGTAAGCAGTCGGGTACCATTTGCTTGAATTGATGCTTTAGGGTTTACCCCATCTTTCCTGTAATAGCTGTTGCAGGTAACAGCCTTAAAAACCTCGAAGGATTTTATTTGTTTGGACATTGCATTTTGTATCATGAGAGACTCAGCTACACGTTTAAGGCAGTCAGTGTAAAATACTTAAGTGGGACACAGCTCTGCAATATAGTCTCTATAGCCAAGAATGTTTCACTAACAGTAATATTGAATTTTAGATGATGAAAAACTTTCAGAAGCTGAAGAATCTCAAGAAACTCAGATGGAAACAGAGACCAAACAGTAGGTGTAATACGAAGACTACTGACTACACTATTGAAGAATATCCAAGTGTCTTCACTTTTTATTGAAACCAACAGTAAGAAACGGAGCTGAAAAATAGTTTTCTACTGCTTCTGTGAATTTTTGTACAAAAATACTTGTTTTGCCAATGCTTCAGGGGAAAACAGCTACAGATCTGTGCAGACAGACACTTTGTGTTAATCCACAACCTTTGTAATTTGTGACAAGAAATATATTTTGTTTCACAAAGGCTGAAGCTTCTGTACTTGTCAACTAAGGTGTTTGCAAAACATTGTCAATAAAAGGTGTTTACAGAGAGTTTCCTGGTTTTAGTAGGCATTGAGCCTAATAGTAAGGGCTCCTTTCCTTACTTGACACTGGACTGAGGGCAGCGCATCTTTGTGTGAGTCCCAGCTTCCGTACCCTAGTCGAGATGGGACCTAAAACTGCACTACGTAGGGTCTTCATTTTTCAAAGTAGCTGCCACTTTAGAACTTAACTGGGGCTAGACTAAAATTTGCTAGTTTCATATAAAACAAATTACCTCTATAAAATTAATGCTTGTCAAGGAGTATAAAACAACAACAATCGTACTGTACTAGCTTTAGTTTTTTCCTTAAGGTGGCGCAAAGAACGGCAGTGGTCTGAGCCTCGCTGTGCTGTGTTCTGTGCAGCCACATCAAAAGCCACATTTTGAAATGACACATTTAAAACTGCAATTTAAAAGCTTTGTTCTTGTAGAACCAGGAATCTAATCCTGATACTGTTTGTAAGCTGCTTCTGGATTTTTATCTGTCAATTTGACTATTATGAAGTACATCATAGTTCCTGAAACAGATGGTGGAGCCCTTCCTTTCTGGAGATGGCAAACCGAAGCAGTAGAGCGGCAGTCATAAAAAACCTCAGATACTTCTATTATGAATAGAGAGGGTGGAATCTATGCACCGGGATCATCCTGCAGTCTGAGCAGGCTCTTGGGAGGTAGGAAATACAGGTTTCAACTTTCCTAACAAGAGAAGAGAGTTGAGTGTGCTCTAAGCTTTTGTAAGGCAAGGAGGGAAGAACAAGGGGCAGCAGTAGGTCATGTCAGTGCCTGCTAGCTGCGCTCTAAAACACCTGTTCAATCGAGCCTTCCAGGGGTTTGGGTAAAGGAACGCGTTTTGGATCTCGCTCAGGCTGAGTCATAAGTAAATTAACGATGTTACACAGAATAGAGCCTCCTCCACAAACTAGGTGACAGCTGAGGGGAGTTTCCAAGATTGTCACTTTGGACTTTTATAGTCTAAATGCCACGTAATTCCTACTCGGTGGCTGTGGATCTGTGTGCATTGGGCTGAACAGACGTATCTGAGCTTGTTCTGCTCGCGTTCCAAGTTTGCTAAAGGCAAGCCAGCTGAACGAGAAGTCATACAGCTTCAGTAGTGCAGTGCAGCCCTGGACAAATAAGCTGTCAAAAGTCTTCTAGTTCACAGCTGGTCAACTCTGAACACAGGGAAAGCTCAGGTTTGCCTTACAGAGCCTGTGTAGACATGCACTTGTGCACTTAAAATCTTGCAGATTGGGGATGGGGTTGGGGTAAGCAAACGGGATTTAATGTGGAAAAATACTGTCAAAAAATGGTTACTGTTTTATGGTTTTTACCCTCGTAACAACAGTGATCAGTAAAATATTTTGTAAAGCAGCAATACTAAATTATTGCCAGAGCAGGGAGGAGTCGCTTTCATGAATGCATGAATTATGAAGACCATAAATGGCAAAGTCTCAAGACACTTTTAAAGCACATATTAACAGTTTTTGTGGTTGAAAGGCCCTCCATGAGCTACCTATTTCCTATTTCGGTGCAGAGGTGGATGACATCCCAGTTAAAAATGACCTCTGTAACAGCATTGTCGTGAAAACCATGAATTTTTCCGCTCTTTGTTTTACCCAGTACTTCGGAATTTTACTCAGATCACTCAAGTGTCTTATCTCGGAACTTGCGCTGCTCCGAATAGAACCTGACCAGAAACATGGCAACGCGTGAGTCTGTCCCTCTGGTAAGGAATACACATGCAGAAACGGACCTTGTACAGAAGAGAAGCGATACAAACACACGGCAGAGTAAGGAGTATGTTCTAGTCTGAACTACAGTGATGCAATCTTGAAAAGCAGTTACTGCCCTAGCAAACCAAGTCGCCCTAGCACAACGTGGCAACAAGAGGGTGATGTCACCGTACTGCCTTCGAGAGCCACAGAAAAAGGGACATCAAGTCGTTGCAAATGCAGCCTCAGTGGGATATCTGCAATTTTTGCTCCTATTTTTTTCAGTATTGATACCTCTAACGTCTTGAACATTAGGTTGTACAAAGACAGAAACAAAACCAAATGAAACTTGTAATACCAGGCAACATTTGACCTGCTCTGTTATTAAGCCCCAAGTTCCAGGTTTAAATCTGCTATGCATATGTTGAAAATAGATTATCTGCATCTCTTTATTTTTCTGTTGAAGTTTTCTTTGTGTCATATTTCCAAGGCACAGATGATAGTCGCTGTTTCACCCCTGGCTGGAAAGTTGTCCTGCTATGATGCTGCTTGCCTGCATTGACTAAATGTACATGTATAAAAATCCGTACGTGTATAAACTCAGGATCTCAACGACCCCACTAAATAAGAAATCTTTCCCTTTCTTAGGATTTGCCTTGTCCCTATCTGAGCTGAAGGATTATTACGTGCCTAAATGCTCCATCTTAATGCCGTTGCCACGTGGACGCAAAAATACAAGCAGAAAGATGCTGATGTGATAAGCTGTGCCACCAAACAGGAAAGTGGTAGAGGGAGAGTGGAACATTGGACAGAATTGGTAACTTGGGCAGAATTTTTTAAGAGAGATTTAGCAAGCTCCATGAAGGGATGGAGAAAGGAGGAGAGAAAAGGTCACGGTGACACACTGCCAAGTGATGGATATCTCTGAAACCACGGTAATTTGAAGACATCTGCTGCCAGCGAAGAAGATTGCAAAAAATATATCACAAAGATTTACGAGATAGAAATTATTAATTATTTTAGATACTTGTCATGCAAGTTTTCCAGCTGTCACAGCTGACATGTACCGTCCTTTCCCCCATTTCTCAGGTCTCAGAAGGTTCTTGGGTTTTTGCGAGTTTAAAAAAAAAAAAAAAAAAGGAAGAAGACAAATTCAGAAATGCAGGCAAGTGCTGTTAGTTTTGCTCTGGGAACCTGTGTGATTTTTATTTTCTAGAATACGTGCATTAGGGAAATACTAGGCTGGTGTATGAACCACTTTATGTGTGTGTGTATATATGCACACACACCAAACCCCAGGGAAAGCTAGTTAGCAATAGAGAAGCTCTCTACATTTCATGCTTTATCACGATTGTCAAACGTGTTTTTTGGGTTACCTCAGCCTTCACTTCCCAAATCTATTTTGATAAACGTTATTATCTGTGTTACAGAAGTCCCTAGCAGCACCACTTGCAGCCCAGCGCCGGCATGTCGCTAGGTCCTGTGCAAGGGCAGACCAAAAAGGCTGTTCCTGCCCCTGTGTACCGGGCAGCACCCCAACAGCCGGGAGGCAAAGCCAGGCCTGGAGCAGAGCATCGTGGGCAGAGCACGTACGGCAGCCTGCCTGCAAACACCCTGGTGTTCACCTGCCTGCTGGCAGCGGGCAAGAAGCCAGCGGGAGCTGGTGCGGCATCGCTGCGTGAGGCTGCTCAGTTATGTGCCGAAGGCGCTTGGGGAACGGGACGCCACGGCTGGGACCCAGTGCCTTCCCGCCAGCGGGACGCCATATCCTCCTGTCGAGGAGCTTCAAGAGGAATCCTAAAGCCAGGGACGCGGTATGGTGTGGTCTTTGTGCGGAGTCCTGAAGAGAAGGGTGAGGGGCCTTACACCTCCGTGCAGGGTGAAATGGTGGAGGGCTTGTTCCATGGCAGGAGGAGCTCTAGGTCTGGCCTCCCTAGAAGCAGAGAGCTGGTTGTGCGGGGCAGCCGCTGCTGGGCTTGCTGCCGGAATGGC